CTAGGTTGAGTGTTATATTGGCTTCTCGTTCCATGATTAGTCCTAGAGGCATTGTGGAGGACGTCCTAGTATGGGTGGGCACTTTCTATTATCCGACGGATTTCATTATCCTTGACATTAGCAAAAAAGCGGATATGCCCCTTATCCTAGGATGCCCCTTCCTTGCTACCACCAAGGCTCTAATCGATGTTAATGAGGGCCATTAGTCTTGAGAGATGGCGAGGAGAAAATCACTTTTTCGATTGATCCTAAGGTTTAGCATAATGATATCAAAGGGATAGAGTCCAATGGTGTGTTTATGAGTGGAGGTGCGCCTATAAAGGCAAATCCCGCTACTGCTCCTTCCTTTTGTGATGATGTGAAGCAAGGACCTAAGGATGGTGATAAACTCTAAGGGAAGCAAATGATAGCATGGCGGGAGAAAATGAACCATGTTTTGTCCCGAAAGAAGAAAAAGGGCAAGGAAAAAGTGAAGGGCAAAGAGGGACACCCTTATGAGTTGGAGATTGGAGGTGATGAGCCTTGCCCCGAGAGTGTTTCGGATCCACTCTTGGAGGCTTCATGCTCTCAAGCATGAAGACCCAAACCGTATAGCTAAGGAAGAAAAAACAAGCGCCTGTTAAGAGGCAACCCACTGTCAGTTCTTATTTCTTTTCCTTATTTTTCTCTTTTTATTTGAGTTCAGTGGTGAGTTTGGGATGTTCACCATGCCACGTTTTATGTGTTTGTATGCTTGATTGAGTTTGAGCCACGGTTGAATCATTTGAGTCTTGAGAATTGAGGAGTTGCCCAGTTTTTATGATTGTCACGATTTTAGGCATATTATCATCGTTAGTAGACCGTGATAATGTGCCAGAGACCGTGACATTTGATGGTATCTCCATACTTTGCAGACGTCACGACCCGTGACATTTGACCGACCTTGATATCTTCCCAAAACTCACCATTTTTATTCGAGGTCACGTTCTTCTCATTATTGTCACGGTCTGCTGACCATGACAATTGACCCCCGCACATGACCTTGAACCTAGGGCTATATAAGATGACCGTGAACCCTCCTTCTTCACAAAGTCGTTTTCGCCGGAATCCTCTGAATCTCCCGCTGAAAAATGTCTCCTCTTACGGTTTATCCACTTTCGGCGATCTAATTCCAAAACCAAACACATACCCAGACTCCCCAGGCCAAGGCACACCTTTGCTGAGGTTTTGATGGATTTTGCTCTTCTTTTCATCGCTGAAAATTGCTTTGGAGAGCTTAAGGTAAAGCTTCGACAACCTCCTTTGGCCAGATTTTTGGCCGATTTTCGAATCCTATCCATTCTCCTCACCTTCCCCACTAATCCTACTTGAGTCTCGAGGTGTGTTTTCATCATTTACTTTTATCAATTTTGGTGAACTGGATTTAGGGTTTATTAGGTGTGGAGAATCGAGATTTTTGCATAAATGATTGAAACTGGATGTGGGAGTTGATGAATGATGATGATTGGCATGTTGTTAAAGTAGTATATGAGATTATTTTGCCTTGGTGGGCTTAAAGTTGCTTGATTTGATGGTAGAATTGAGAAATGCCCACCAAGTGTTTGCTTAATTGTCTATCCTTAATACACTTTCATGAATGTTGAATGGTGGTCATCGATGCATGATCTAGGCTTGCAATTGCAACCTTCATGATCTATGAAACACCTAGTTTAATGCCTTAGTGTGCCTTGTGGGGTGTTTACTCTTAGTTGTTGATAAACCAAGCTTGTGAAAAGCCTATGACGGCACGTGGCCAATGTGGAATACTAAGTGTGGGGGAGTTACCTTTCTCCCAAATGAGCTTTATTTGATGATTGTTTCCACGTATGTTGTGCTTTTGTTGGTATATTTGTAGGATGGTGGATCCAAACTACCCATTCATTTACTATCTGGTGAATCATCCGAAGTATAGTGACAAGTTCGAGACTTGGCTCTACACCGACATCGGACCCCACTAGAGCTATGACTTGGACATGTTCAACATGTTCAGGTGCCAAGCCACGATATCCATGGTAATTTCCCACCCTCAATGGTGCAACCTCCTCTCCATTAACGAGCTCATCTATCACGAGCTATGTGTGGAGTTCTACTCCATCTTCATCAATGAGGTGCACGCTAGTCGGCGTAATTGCCCCTACATGGAGTTTATGCTCGGAGGAGTTCACCACATACATGGCTACGATGCCTTCGCCTAGGCTATAGACCTCAACACCAGAGTCATGGCAATAACCGAGAAGGCCTATACCAGGGAGGTTGATCCATAGAGGGTGTACGAGACAATCTGCCTCCCCAAGGACATACATATATAGTATTGCGCCTCCAACACCCTGGCTACCTAGTTCTAAGCAGAGTGGAGGATTATGCATATGCTTCTTACCTGCTTGGTGATTCCGAGCCTCCAGTCTGGTCATATGGTCACCCTCCGCGGGATGGTGACACTACATTCCATGAGCCACCCCACAACACCACTCCATCTCGGCTTAGTGATTGCCACTACCTTCTCAAGGATCTTGAGTCGACCTCGAGTAGGCATGGTGCACATGGGAGCATCATCACCAAACTAGCCAGACACTTCGGAGTGGACACCTCAAGTTTCACAGTGGCGACCCAAATTGAGCACTTCCCCATCGAGACACTCTATAGTATGCATCTAGTGAAGGAGATGAGGGGAGTTGAGTACATTGATGGATTGCGCCCCTCGGGCATACTTAGTCAATTGTTGAACAACCCCCAGAGGCGCAAGAGGCATGCCTCCCCAGACACCACCACAGAGGCGACATCGCCGTACCAGAGCATCTTCATCCTCAGGAGCTAGTTCATCATCCTTGGTCGTAATTGAGGGTCGAGTGACTCGCCTTAAGCACCATGTAGCCAGCGTCTCCTCTTAGCTCAACCAAGAGGTGGATGCTCGTCGCCACTCCCACCACCTTCTAGAGAAGATGGCTCGAGTTCAGGGTGTCCAGGTCAAGGATAACCGACATGCATGCTTCTCCGTCTCGTGAGAGGTAGACAACGACGTGAGACATTTCGGTGAGTGATTCTATAGTCCCACTTCTCCACTTCAACTCTGAACTCTGTTTTTTTATTAGTGTTGAACTAGTACTATTGTGTTTGTTCTATGTTCCCCGTGATGTTAAATACTATCATTATGTAATAACCTCTCCTTGTGTGAGAATGTGTGTGCTTGTTTTTATTTTGTGTTGTTTCTTTGTGACCAAATCCTCCTCTATCCCAGTCTAATGTTCGACTTTCACTTGCTCAAATGTACGGTAACTTCTTCACCCTACCCTTTCTCCATTGAGGACAAGGTTGTGCTTAAGTGTGGGGTGTGTATTGTTGTGATGGGTGGGTAAAATTGATGTCAATGCATATTCATAGTGGCCGGTTGTGGATGATCTCATGGTTATTAGAATTGGCTTTGGATAATTGCTTGTGATTGAGTGCAACCTATGATGATGACTGAGATATGCATTAGGTTGGGGCAAGTGTTTAGTTCTCATGTGTGTGCGAACCATTGGATGTGTTTGGATTGATTACTCATTGACCATATTGTTATGCATTGAAATTTGGAAGCTGGAATGAATGTGTGAGCATCTGGGTAGACATGTGAGAGAACCCTCTTACCATGATGTGTAACATTCACGTTGCACTAGCGAGGAAGATGGAGGCATATGATTAGTCCACGACTCAAAAATTGACTTGTCTCGATTGCATTATCCCCTAGTCAACCATTTTGAGTCGTGTGTCTAGGGATCGCTCTCATGTTGTGTAGCCCGTGTTTTGTGAGCTTGATTGAGATTAGGAAGAGTGACCCTTACTTTCTTCGTGTCTACACAATTATCGAGTCACCCTTGTGCTTGGAAGCTCCCATCAATTGAGCTTCATTGAGATTCCACTTTGTGTGTCTTGAATGTTTCCTGGTAAAGAATGAAAGTGAGTGTTGGAGGTAGTGCTTAAGAAGTGAACATGTGTTTAAAAGTTCAAAGACTGTGGCATCTGTGTCTATCTTTCTAATACCCCCAAGAAATAAAAGAGACACAAAAAGAATAAAGGGGTTAAGTAATTCCTATAAAAAGAGAAACAAAGTCCCTAGGCTTTCGATTTTTCTAGTTCCTCAATTGTTAACTAATTCCTATAATATGTACACTTAATGAAATAATACATGGTTTTAATTTAAAAAATAAAGGGGTATTTTTCATTTGAAATATAGTAGATAGACATGTTTGAGATATAGTAGAGGGACAAAATACATATTATTAAGCATGATTGTCAGCCACCCGGTTGAACCTGGTTAAACATGTGTTAGTCATGAAATCAGCGCAGACACCATCGGTATCACGGTATGACCAACATGATCGATTTACAATCTCTAAGCAAAATAACATCGCTTTAATGAGTTTAATTAATACAACATAATTTATTATATTTATTATAAAATTAATATTTAAATAGTGTTTTTATAGATTGGATTCAATTATAAATATTTAGGAATTAACGTTAAATGTTATATTTAAATATCAGTATTTGTTATTTTATTTGAAATGTCATATTTTATTTAAATATGAATATGGATTGTTAGTAAATTCTCTTTAAATATATTTTGTATACGATTATATTCATTTGGTGTTAATAGGTTCTTATTTTCTACCTATTTTGTTAAATTTGCATGAACCGAGACAAACCGGTTGTACCATAAAGTCAGAAGTCGGACATCCCACTTGCTGAACCGGTACGAACCGGTTTAACAATTCAGTATAGTACAGAGCAGAAAGAAAGAAAGAAAATAGCGACAAAGGAAGAAAAGGGTGTAGAGGGCTAGAGGCTAGAGGGAGATAGGAGGAATCAGGAAAGGAAGGACTAGGCTTTTTGTACTGTTTTTCTTTGCGTACAAAATCGTTGAGCTAGAGGGAGTGTGGAACAGGCTGACTGTAGCACAGAGCAGTGTGACAGCGAACTTCTCTTCTTTCACTGGGGGCGTGACAATGGGGAGTGAAAGCGGCAGCATAAGCTGCGGCGGCGGCGCGGAGGTTCGGCAAGTACCGCCTGTACACACGAAGATTGTTCAGAGCTTGAAGGAGGTTGTGAACAACGGTAACTATACCGATTCCGATATCTACGACGTTCTTCGGGACTGTGACATGGACCCAAACGCCGCCGTCCAGAAGCTGCTATCCCAAGGTTCTGATTGCTCCTCCTCCTTTTCTGATTGGGTTGTTTCTTCCGTGCTCGGTGAATTGTGTGGCGGAGGAAATTTAATGTGGCTAGGGTTTTTGTTGTGGTTTTAATTTGTGCTTCCTCTCTGCTTATTTATTTTTTTTTTAACTTTCTTTCTTTTAATTTTAGGGTTCCAGACCAGAAAGTAAAGTGTCTTGTTGATTCTAAGTTGTTTGATAGTGCATTAATTATTCAATATCGTTGATTAGGATTTCTTGTGGTCGGATTCTGTTTCTGTTGTGTGCCCCTGTGATGCATCCTACTAAGGAGCAGCCAAGGGTTCATAACGATTCTTGCACCGCAGGAATGGCTCTATTTGTGGTCTGAGAAACTGAAGTGCAACATACTGAGCAGTGGAGTCTTGTTACAATCTTAATGCAGCTTTGTCTGGTGGATTCTTTTTATAGCTTTGTTGTTCTTTAGGCGTCCGAAATGCCTTCAGGTGTAGTGGGGGAGTCCATAGGCGCAGAGGTTAAGTTTTTCGTTAGTTCAATCTCAGCTCTCGACTTGTATTTCCTTCTTCCATCGGTAATCTTATTGCATTTCTTATGCACACAACGACTTGATTCAGAGTATCTTTTGGATTCTTATTGAATTAATAGTTTCAATGGTGTAGATATTTTTCGTGAGGTGAAAAGCAAACGTGAAAGAAGAAAAGAGGTACCCTTGTGAAAGTAGCCGCCTGTGCTCTGTCCTCCTTTTATCTTCCTTCTCTCTAATATTGTTGTTGTTGTTGTGGTTGAACAAGTGAAATCATCACTTGTTCATCTCTCTAGTCCATCTATATCGATGATTAGTTTACCATGCCTTTTTTTGAAGACAGATAGGCCTTCAAAGGCTTACTTCCACTTATTAGATGTGTGTTGCTTGCTGTTATGGTGCCTCTTACTTTTTTCGTGTGCAAATGTACACTTCAATTTATCAGATGAAGGACACACAGGACTTAAAGAGCCGGGACAACAGTAGTCATCTTGAAGCTAGAGTTAATGCTCACCGTAGTATAGGAGAGGTTCAATCACAAGCCAGCTATAATGGTGGGTTATACGTATATTTTACTCTGGAGCAACACGAGCTCCTTACTTCATAATAGGTGAATACTTTGTTCTATTGTTGTTTTGAGCTCTCATCATCTGAGCTTCTCTCCTGGCAGAGCTTGGTAAAGCTTCATACAGGAGAGATAATGGGTCTGCAAGTCCTGTCTTACCTTCATCTTCTTTGACATATGAAGTGAAAACTCCTGTGGACCGGCCTTCACCTCATAGGTTTGTTTTGTTTTCTTTCTTCTCTTTATGGAGCATCAATATTTGGAAGACATAATAAGTTTTCCTCTTTGTTCACTTTGTACAAGTTCATGCTTCAAAATTTCCATTTTGATTCCCTTTTTACTATGGGTTGACTCTGCTCTAGAATCTAGATATACATGGGATGCTAATCAACATGGAGACAGTTATGGTGCTTCTGTATAAACAGTTATTTTCAATGCTGGGTCTATTTTGGAAAGTCCTCCAGATTGCAGTATTCATTGTAGTTGAGAGGCTCGAGAATTTCTTCTATTCGACAAGTAACTGACTTTCACGTTAAGCACGCAAGTCATATGCTCAATAAGATAGTACACTGGTCTGGGAAAATTTGCTGCTGGTATATATGCCATCCGTGTGCCCATGTGGGCATGTTTTCTCTATAGGTATTCTTAGTTGTCTCAGTACATGATTGCAGTATGCATTGTAGTTTAGGGGCTTGAAAATTTATGGTACCTGCCAAGTAACTGACTTTCACATCAATCACGCAAGTCATATGCTCAATAAAGCGTACACTGGTCTGGAAAATTTGCTGCTGGTGCAGATGCCACCGTATCCCCCGCTGGGCATGTTATGTCATTAGGTATTCTTATTTGTCTGTCAGTATTCATTGTAGTTTAGAAGCTTGAGAAGTTTTGATACCTGACAAGTAACTGACTTTCACCGTAATCACACAAGTCATTTGCTCGATGTAAGAGTACACTGGTCTGGGAAAATTTGCTGGTGGCTCAGATGCCCACCGTGTCCCCAGGTGGGCATGTTGTGTTATTAGATATTCTTAGTTGTCTCTTTACTCGGGTGCATTTATATTACATTTTTTCCTGTTGGAAATATACTTGTTTTTTTGTGCTTAATTTCTCATGACTCAACCAGTGCTTTAATGGCTCTGCACTGGTCCATGGCATTGTATCTCATCAATATATTTTTGCCTGTTTGATATTTTTCAGTGTTTTGTATGTTGCACCGCAGTGATTCATTTGAAGATAAGAGCGCTAGTAAGAACATAAGGCTTGTTGATTCATCTGCACAAAGTCCTCTAGCTTCTCAATCCGATTGGCCAGGAGGTTCATCCGGACATGTTTCCAAGGCCGACATTGTTAGGGTGCGAGGGCCTCAAACAAAGGGTATACAAACATCAGTTAGAACATCATCTTACTTACTGCCACATAAATTTGACAAAAAAGTTCACAAAAACATTCTTTGAAAATGAAACCAAGGAGTTGACCTGGTGCTAAGGGGATGGATGTTATGTACAAACCTTGAGGCCAACATCACTTATTAGAAAAAGTAGTTTGAAAATAATTCATCAATATAATTGTACGACACCAATATGTTATTTGCGTGCAAGGTCTGTTTGGTCCATATTTAATTTGCTCTTGATGGTTCTATGCTAGTAGCTATATTTTTGGGCGTAGATGTAAATACAATAGAATTAGTATTCCTCATTATTCTGATTCTGTTTTTCCAAATCCCAAAACAGGAAGGAGAGCTCATTTAGCATCTATAAGCAGTTCGCCTGAAATATTACAGAGTGCCGAGGGCTTGCAGCAGCTGAGTTTGGAGGAGAAGCCTGCAGAGGTTACATCAGAGAACAAACATGGCGTGGTGTTTCCAAACTATATGCAAGCTTTTGCTGCCGACTGCTCACATTTGAGCTTTGGAACATATAAATCTAGGGTGCAACCTTCAATGTCTGTGCCTGCAATGTCTGATTCAGTGAGGAGCAACTCATTTGCAGCTACAGATAGTCCACCTTCTGTGTATGTTGATCCCTGACAACAATTTATTAGCTTGGGGACTTTATGTATCACTTGTTTTATATTGATATCCAATGTATTTTGTGCAGGAATTTAGGGTTCCCTGGTGATTCGTTGAGTCCTGATCATCTTGAGTCTATGAGGAATGTTTCCCAGTTGGCTGATGGTGCTACAAACCGTAGCTTTCCATCACATTTACATCCAGAGTTGATACAGGGGAGTATTCCTGGAGCTTCTCAGCAAGATGAATATTTCTCTCAGTTGTCTATGCACGATTCTAGTTCTAAGAAATTCCTAGACCACAGTACTTCATCATCTATTATGATGCATCCAAATGCTCTGAGTGCTCCTACCCTCCATCAAGAACTGGTTATCTTCTCTTAACTCTATGCTGCTTATCTTGTTGTGCAACACAGCAAAAACCCTCCTAGCAAGCATAAATATTTTTGGAACTAAGCTGTGCATGCATTGGTGGCTAGACTTATTGCTAGGATTTGGACCCTAAAATGTGGATGACGAAATGGAAAAAGGTCCTTGTTTTGTCATTATCTCCAATTTGTATGTGATGGTTTATGCTTGTAATGCTTCTTTCTCCCCTCCTGTTAGATGAATTCCTTTGGATCTGCTTTCCCAGCTCGGCTTTAGTTTACTGGCATTTCCATAGTTGATCAATATTTTCTGATGGCTGTTCCCTTGGGCCTTCTCTGTCTTTTGTTATCTGTTGTTGCTCTTGATGTGCTTACGAGCTGAAGCTTGTACTTGTTTGATTTTGGTCGCTTAAGCTTGAAAGGTCATGTTGTCGAGGCCACTCTGGGATATCTAATCTTGATTCTAGACATCTTCTTGCAGTGTATGAATTCCAAGACCTTGCCTATTGAGTTTTTGGCTGCTAATGTGGAATCTGCGAGAAACTTTGATGACCTGCTTTCAGCATTTGGCTCAACCCATCAAATCCCCACTTCACACTATGGAAGTATTCCACCATCAACTGGTAGTTCATCCATTTTGATTCCGGAGGTACTACATGACGGAACTTTACTGTCTCTGTAACTTCTTACTTTAGATGCCATCTATTTCATTAGCAGTTATCCTGCTGGCTTGTTCTTCATTGAGATTTATTATTACTATATTCAGCTCCGAGGCTGTTGTTCTGGAATGACGGGACATTAAACACTTATCTATTTAAATTGCAATGCCTAACATTTGGGCATCCCTTCTGTATGCAGATTCTGAACTCTACTGCCTATGGCTTACCAACATCTTATTCACAGGAGTTTCCTGGCAGTAATCTTCTCAGGGAGCCTGCACTGTTGCAGCATGTAACATCACAACCGTTCTCCCAGCCTGCTCTGAGCTCGGAAGAAGTGGCAAAGTTGACTGGATATCCAGCTCTCTCTCCAAATTATGTTCACAGTTCCTCATTCTCTTTGCAGCAGCATGCATATGAAGAGACTTCATTCCTTAATTTGGCAAGGACAAAGAACCTCAATCAGTTCAAGGGGGATGGTTCTCGGAGTAACTTTCCTCAGCCGGATGCTGCTGATGTTTCTGGTTATGCTGGATTTGGGAGGCAGTCCAACTATAGAGGGAAGTTTCCTCGTGATTTATCCTCCAATCTTTCTGCTTCTGCTGTCGGATATGGTGATACTTTGCGCACTTCATTTACTGGTGGAAACAATTTATCCTCGCTCCAACAGGTAAAGCTTTTCGGACCCTGCTTGAGTTCCTTCTGTCTTCATTTTTGGGGTTTCTTTTGTTTCCTACACGTATCTTCCTATTGAGCTGATTTTGGCTACCCTTGGAAATAATTCCAGAATGACATTTCTTCTCCATGGGAGTATGGGCCAGATAAAGCAACTTTATCAGCCATTCCAGACAACCAGTATCACAGTTTACACGGATATAGTCAATTTCTTCCAAGATATAATAAGCAAGAACAGCAGCAGCATTCCCACGATTATGGTGCTCTTGGATATGGCAGCTCATATCCTTCTCAAGGAAGGACAGTCCAAGAACAATGGATCGGCGCTGGTAGTGTTAATAGTTTCCCAGATCCTTCATCCAAGCAGCAAAAAATTTGGGGGCAAAACTACTGATTGGTGTTAAAGCCTTTTTTCCGTGGGCTATTGTTATTTTGTAGGGATTTTGATAGAGGGTATAGGTGTCTTAGATTTAAAGTTTTCAGATGGTTCAGGGGTTCAGCTCCCTATCCCATTGTACATACTGGAAGTAATGTTTTGTGGTTATATTTAGGCAGCAATATTGTACTCCATTCTAATTTCATATACCGCATTCGCGTCTCAGATCCATAGATCTTTTGTGAGTTATAATGCCCTGCCTTGCCTGCACTTGCATTTTCATTTTCTTAGTCAGATGTTTTCCTGGTGGAAAACCATTTGCCCAAGTAATACTTTGCAGGTTCAGAACTCGAGGAATCAGCCGTTCATTGATCCTGTAATGGATTTTGCAAGCTCAACTATGACTGGACCAACCATTACTGGTATGATTGGCCTCCTTTCCCTTCTGCATTTTATTATGGTAATGATATGATGATTTTTAGTAGGTAGATCGCACTTACCAAAATGCATTACCTTGAACAGAATACATACATATATCTTATAATGTAAGATATTGATATCTGTTGGGAGAAGGCAATTGACATGAGTGAAGTGTCAGTTAGGTGTTAGGCAGTAAAAAAAGATGTTAATATAGAAAACTAGTAGTCTCACTTAACTTTCTCCTAATTCTCGTCTTCCTTTTGCTTTATACCATATGTTTATTACAGGACAATCTGCTACTTAAACTGTGGGTTGCTGTTGGATGTAGTTCATGCAAAAACTTTCTTCTTTTATGAATGGCCGGAGGAGGGGCAGATCAAAACACTCCTTGTTTAGGAGGGTACAAAAGCACAATGGACTGCTGCACCCATGTTTCTGACCAAAATCATCACAGGCTGAGCATTGAGGCTGCAAGCTTTGGATCCCCCAAGCTGCCCAAGGCCGTAGCCCCGGTTTCAGTTTCGCCTGCACCGGAAGGCGAATGTGTCAGGCGCCCTAGGGGAAGGCCAGCTGGCTCGAAGAACAAGCCGAAACCACCAATCATCGTCACTCGAGACAGCGCCAATGCCCTTCGTGCCCACGCAATGGAGGTCAGCTCTGGCTGCGATGTTAGTGAGAGCCTAGTCAACTATGCAAGAAGGAAGCAGCGTGGGATATGCGTCCTTAGCGGGAGTGGGTACGTGACCAATGTTACGCTGCGCCAACCGACCTCATCTGGAGCCATAGTGACCCTCCATGGCCGGTTCGAGATTCTTTCTCTGCTGGGCTCGATCCTGCCACCTCCAGCACCTTCGGGGATCACGGGGCTGACCATCTACTTAGCCGGGGCCCAAGGCCAGGTGGTTGGTGGTGGAGTGGTCGGGGCGCTGATAGCTTCTGGTCCTGTGGTGGTGATGGCAGCATCATTCATGAATGCGACCTTTGATCGGTTGCCTTTGGATGAGGATGAGATTGCTGCAGCTGTTGTGCAGCAGAATCAGCATTACCAGAATGGGCGTCGCCACCATCACCTCGATATTTCGGATGTGTGTGGTGGAGTGCCCCAGAACTTGCTGGCTAATAACCCAACGAACCCTACCGAGATTTACTCCTGGGCTGCCGGTCGAGCCATCTCCAAGTCCTAGCTAGCATGTTTTCAGCTGCTGCCTCGTACTGAGCCATGATTTGTTTTTTGTTGCTTTTAAAATGTACGCTATGCTCCTCATACTGAGCCTAATGATTTGTTTTTTGTTGCTTTTGAAATGTATGCTATGCTGCCTATGCAGTGCACCACACGTAAACTAAGATATGGAACACAGGAGATAGCCGGGGGGAAAAAGAGAAAGATCTTGTGACTTGCACTTTAGAGTGTTAGTATTATGAAGCTGTCGCCAGCTCTGAAGTTATTGTTGTAGAGGATTATCGCTCTTGGTGTCTCCCCATGCCATGTAGTAGCTTCCAAATCTGGGAAGTAGGGTAATACAAGCTTGAGTTTCTATCGATGGGTCAGACGGAAAAAAAATCGAGATAGTTAGGGATTTGGAAGATATAATTTGCAATTTGGGACATCCGTTTCAGGAAGAGGACATAAGAAATTAGAGTATGAGAGAACAGAGTTTGGAGATACTTTTTTATTAACTTTCTTCATAAATCTAAGGAAATATGCAAAATATATATAGAATAAATTAGAGAATTGAGTTTGGAGATACTTTTCTTATCAACTTTCTTCATAAATCTAAGGAAATATGCAAAATATATATAGAATAAATTGGTGAACTCGAAGACTAGACATCTGTTGGTAGCAACCAGAATAACCCTTGTGAAGTAAGTGGCCTCCTCCATGAAAGTGTACCCGATGTTTACAGAAGCTCTACCGTCCACGGTTTGCAATTCGCTTGACAAAATCAATAGGCGCTTTATGTGGGGAGAAGAGGAAGGGAAAGCGAAGTTCCATCCGGTGGCGTGGGAGCAAATGACTCTTTTGCCGAGTCAAGGGGGGGATATGTATTAGACGGACGAAGCTTGCGAATCAAGCCATGCTTGCGAAAGAAGCCTGTAAAATCATCACCAAAGAATCAATCTCTCTGGGTGAAGGTCCTTAGTGTTAATAATAATTATAGGTACCAAGTTGTAAATAGCCTTCGGAGATTAGGGTTGTATTAGCAACCTATTTATATCGTTGTAAACTATACTGGATGATTAACGAAATAAGAAAACCTAAAATCTGAGTGGGAGATCCTCTCCGTGGACTAGTGTCATAACGATACCACATTATAAAAGTTCTTGTGTTCTTTACGATTTATGCTTGATTAATTGACATGGAATCAGAGCCTCACGAAGCTCGTTCTCCGGTCTTCCCAATTCTTGGAGTCCTTTGGTTGCTTGTTCACGTCCAGATTTTAGGGTTGTTGTCCGAAACCCTCTGGTGCTTTCTTCTTGTTCAGCGCCTCTTTGTTGTCCAAGGTTGCTGTCCAAAATCCTTTGGTGATCTTCTTGTTTGGCGCCTCTTTGCTGTTCGCGCTGCTGCTGTGGGTATTGTATCTATTCAGCTTTGCTCCTCGCACTGCTGTGGTATATTTCTTCTCCGATCGGCGCCGCTCCGGGTTTTCTTTTTGTGTGTTGCTGCTGTTCTTTCTTTCTTGTGGACTTCCTCGCCAACGCTATGGATTCTTCGAAGCTGGATGCTGCAGCTATTAAGTTCGACGGGACGAACTTCACTTTATGGGAATTTCAGTTCCGTACCATGATTGAAGGTAAACGTCTACTTCCCATTCTGACCGGAAAATGGGCTAAACCTTCTGCTGATGCTCCAGACAAGGATCGTGATGATTGGGCAGCGGCTAATGCCCAAGTAACTCATTGGCTCTTGGCTTTTGTTCACATTCCTACCGCGTCGGGTCTTCGTCGGTTTGAGACTGCTCATGACATGTGGGTGCATCTTTGCTCTGTGAATTCTCAGTACGACGCTTCTCGTCAGTTTGAACTGGAAACTCAGCTTGCTTCTCTTGCTCAAGGTGATCTAGATGTCCGTGGTTATTACAAGAAGGCTCTACATGTCTGGACGGAATATGATCTTCTCATGGCCTCTCTTACTCCCAATGCTATTTCGACTGATATGGTTAAGGAGCGCAATCGATCTCGTCTTATGCATTTTCTCATGCGTCTCCGCCCTGAATTTGAGGATGTCCGCGCCTCTCTTCTTCATCGCAACGTCGCCACTCTTGATGCTGTATTCGGGGAGCTCGTTCGAGAAGAAACCCACCTAAAGAGCCAGGCTAGCCTCGATCACTTAGGTCATGGATCCGAGTCCGTCTTTGCTGTGGGTAAGTATGCATCTTCCCGTCCTCAATTTCACCAAGGCACTTCGGGGGAGGTTCGGTGCCATTATTGTCAAGAACCCGGCCATATCCAGCCTGTGTCCCAAACGAAATTTTTGTAACTACTGCAAGACAAAGGGACACATAATCTCGGACTGCCCGGCGAAGAAGGGTCGCGGGAGGGGTGGTGATCGCTCTGGCAGCGGAGCTGGTGATCGATCTAGGGGTGATCGTCCGCGTCATGGGGGTCCTGGATATGCTGTCCATCTCTCTTCTCCAGGCTCCTCTTCTGCCTCGGCTGCTGCTACTAGTTCAAGCACTTCTTTGTCCTTCGATATGGTTCGGAAGTTGGTCCAAGAAGCACTTCAAGAAGTTCTTCCTGCCGCTTTGAGTTCTGTGTTTGCTACGGGTGCTGCGCTAGGTAATTCTTCTCGTTGGCTTCTTGATTCAGCTGCTTTTAATCATATGACGAATTCCCCGGCTAATTTTTCTGTCATCAAGCCTACGCACAGCTGATGTTACAAGTAGCTAATGGTGCTAATATTTCTGTAAATGGTTCTGGTACTGCGGTTACTCCTGGTGTTACTCTTCCTAATACTCTTTACGTGCCGAAGTTGGTTCCTAATCTGGTTTCAGTTGGGCAGTTGGCGAAAGAAGGGTGTAAGGTTACTTTTAATTCAGGTGGGTGTGTGTTGCAGGATCAGATGACAGGGAAGGTGATAGGGACGAGAAGTAAACAAGGTCAAATTTTCGTGTTGAATCAATATCCGAAGTCAGCTGGGAGTTCTGATGATCGAGTGGCGCATGATTTGACACGAAGCAAAGGGACTGCAGGCAGGGTGTCGAGTAATCTGGATTGTAATGGGTTTATGGGATGTTCTCTTAAACCATTGGATTTTTCGGTTAAGGCTACTATTTGGGATTTATGGCATTGTCGGTTAGGCCATCCACATACTGCTCGGTTATACAGTATGTTCCGGAATAATTTATTACCAGATCGTATGGATTCATCCGTTTCTATGCATCCTTCTACATGTATTAGCTGCATTGAAGCTAAGGCTTCTCAGTCTTCTTTCTCCTCGAGTTCTATAGTCTATGAGTCTCTATTTGATTTAGTTCATACCGACCTATGGGGTCCATCTCTGGTTACTTCTCGTCTGGGATATCGCTATTTTGCTCTATTTATTGATCATGCTATGCGTTATATCTGGGTTTATTTTCTGCGTCAAAAGTCCGAACTTATCAACTTTGCTCAGGAATTCATTCGGATGATCCAAACACAGTTCAAGACCACGGTGAAGGTGATTCGGTCCGACCCTGGTGGGGAATTTAACACCAACAAACTGCTAGATTTTTATAAGTCACAAGGAATTGCGTCTCAATAGTCCTGCACGGGAGTCTCACAGCAGAATGGGCTGGTAGAACGCAAGCATAGACATGTGCTCGAATTGACTCGAGCAGTCGAGCTATGTTGTTCCATTCGCATTTTCCTCGCAGTTTTTGGGTTGAGGCAGTAAGCACGGTCACTTACTTGATCAATCGGCAGCCCTCCTTGACAATTGACAACCATTGCCCGTGTATCTCCTATATCACAAGCAGCCCGACTACTCATTTCTCCGCGTCTTTGGTTGTGTTTGTTTCGTCTTGATTCCCAAGAAAGAGAGAAACAAACTCGATCCGAAGACAGCTAAGTGCGTTTTTGTGGGTTATAGTGAAAAACATAAGGGTTATCTTTGCTATGATACTGCTGCGCGGCGTATGCGAATCTCATGTCATGTCGTGTTCTTGGAGCAAGTTATGCACTATCCGTTGGAGAAATAAACAAGTGATAATTCTCTGGAATTTCTCGATAGCTTACCGGTTTTTGATCCTGTTCGCATACCAGCTGTCATGGGTCTGAATGATGCTCCGTCTACTGATCATGATGATGCTTCACCACCTGGGACCCCTTCCATAGTTGGACATCAATCCTCCTCCACGTCTGACTCTTCGGCGTCCCAGCCTTCTACAAATGCGACCGCCGAGCCGCATTCTTTTGCAACAGCATCCTCCCAACAATCTTCTACGACCACACCATCATCTCCGTCCCACTCCAGCAGTTCCATCTCCTCTTCTCCTGGGTCCTCTTCGCATGAGGAGATGCTAATTTCACCTCCACCATTACATGTCCCCCGATGCTTCCAACGAAGCACAAAAGGCCACCCACCAAGTAGGCTTCTCGACTATGATTGTGTAGGCTTCTCTATTGAGTCTATTCTTATTCATAAACATTATCGAGAAGCGAAGGATGATCCGAACAGGAATGCTGCCATGGACGAAGAGTTTGATGCGTTAGAAGCTAACCATACCTGGGACCTCGTTCCCCGTCGCCCGGAGATGTCTGTGATCGGCAGCCGATGGGTCTATGCCCTCAAGATGAAGCCTGACGGTGATATTGAGCGATTCAGAGCTCGGGTTGTTGCTCAGGGATTCTGGCAGGAATTTGAGATAGATTATGATGAAACGTTTGCTCCGGTGGAAAAAATGCAAACAGTTCGGAGTGTCCTTGCTGTGGCCGCCAGTAAATCATGGTCTCTGCATCAATTGGATGTAAAGAATGTGTTCTTACACGGCGATTTGAAAGAGGAAGTGTATATGGAATGTCCGTCAGGCTACGCCAAGGGAAATAAAAATTTGGTTTGCAAATTAAATCGGTCGTTGTATGGGTTTAAGCAAGCGCCCCGGGCATGGTTTGAGAAATTCCATAGCACTATTCTGCAGGCTGGTTTTACACAGAGTCACAATGATCCGTCCTTATTCACACGGCAGACGATTTCGGGTATTACAGTTCTTTTAATTTATGTTGATGACATGATTGTTACAGGTGACGATCAGGACAGTATTCATGAGCTTATTAAGCATCTCCATGCCGTCTTCAAGCTAAAGGAATTGGGTTATGTATCCTACTTTTTGGGGAATGGAAGTTCAGCAGTCAAGGTCTGGTATTCTAGTCTGCCAGAAGAAGTATATTACCGACTTGCTAACTACGGCTGAGTATGCAGATTGCAAACCGTGTACTAATCACATGGAGCAGAACCTAAAGTTGAGTCGTTCAAGTGGGGATCTTCTTGACGATCAGACCTTTTATAGTAGTGTTGTAGGTAGTCTTATCTACCTCACTCATACCAGACCTGATATTGCCTACACAGTTCAGGTACTGAGTCAGTTTGTGGGCATGGCACGTACTGCTCACTTGGATGCTGTGCATCAGCTTCTTCGGTATCTCAAACATACTACAGAAGCTGGACTCTTCTTTCCTGCCGCAGGGGAGGCAGTAATTGAGGCCTTTGCAGATGCGGATTATGCAGGATGTTTGGATACTCGGAGATCTACTTCTGGTTGGTGCATTCGTTTTGGCAGAGCTTTTGTGTCATGGAGGTGTCGTAAACAGGACAGGGTGTCAAAATCATCTACAGAGGCTGAGTACAGGTCTATGTCTGAGGTGAGTTCAGAGATGGTCTGGCTGCAGAGGTTGTTTCTTGAGCTAGGCATTGCTTGTAGAATGCCTATGTGTCTGTATGGAGATAACACAAGTGCAATTCAGATAGCAATCAATCCTGTTCTGCATGATCGAACTAAGCACATTGAAGTTCATGTGCATTATATTCGTCAGCTGGTGGCAGAAGGGACAATACAGATTAGCTATCTGAATACTGAAGATCAGACTGCAGATATTCTCACGAAGGCTGTGTCTTCAGGCCGACACTGGTATCTATCTGGCAAATTGATGTTACGTACCCAACATCAATTTGTGGGAGGGTGTTAATAATAATTATAGGTACCAAGTTGTAAATAGCCTTCGGAGATTAGGGTTGTATTAGCAACCTATTTATATCGTTGTAAACTGTACTGGATGATTAACGAAATAAGAAAACCTAAAACCTGAGAGGGAGATCCTCTCTGTGGACTAGTGTCATACTGACGATACCACGTTAAAAAAGTTCTTGTGTTCTTTACGATTTATGCTTGATTAATTGACACTTAGATGCAAATACGAAAAGTCAAGAGAAGGGCTCGATAGCTTTGATAAGAAAAAGGGATGTTCTTACTCTTGTCTCAGTTTCTCTCAAACTGTGAACCTTTTGCGCAGTTGTATGGCTTATAACGTGAAGGATGGTAAAAAGACTAACTTTTGGACTGTCCCGTGGATTATGCAGGTACCTTTGGAGGAGCTAGTTGTGGAAGAGATTCCTGTGGAGCTGTGGATTAAGATGGTGGTTGAGTTCTGGGATCCGGTGAGCGAATGGAAGATAGAGGACTTCGACACAATGCTGCCGCAAGAGATCGTTGATAAGATACGAAACTTATTGCTGGATCCACTCTCACCTATGGAAGACACCCTTTTTTTGGAAGGCTGCTGCAAATGGCAAATTTAGCACGAGCTCGGCTTTTAGAAGCATTGCCCAATAACAAGGTTCTCTCGCACCTTCCTTTTGGTGCCGAGTTTGGACTCTTCAATGCCTTGAGAGAGTCATATGGTTCACTTGGCTAGCTGGCGATCAAAGGGAGGCTTTCTACCAATGCGATCAGGAAGTTCCGACATTTGACAACGGATGATAAATGCCTGTTTTGCAAGGATGAGGTTGAAACAAATCTCCGTTGCTTAAGAGACTGCTCTATACCAAAGGAGATTTGGGAGAGAATTGTACCAACCTCAAAAAAACTCCACTTCTTCTCAGCGGATCATGATACTTGGTTTAGGGACAACATAAATGATGCAAAGGAAGAAGAGTGGTCGGGTGAGTGATCGAGTTTCTTCTCCCTGGTCACTTGGTATATATGGAAAACAAGGAATGAATATCTATTCTAGGGTAAGTCTCTTACTAGGGCCACTTGGATTAATTATGTGATTGCTAAAGCGAGAGAATGGGGTAAGACTTGGGAGGCATCCTCTCTTAACATTAATGCAGGTTTGGGGCAGAGGCGGATGGAGAAGCTTATTAGCTGGACCCCCCCTCCTTCTGAGTGGTACAAACATAACACCGACGGCGCGATGCAAGGCAATTCTGGGTTGGTGAATGGTGGTGGTTGCCTTCGAGACAGTGATGGAGTTTGGATGGGTGAGTTCTGGATAGGGTTTGACGTTCAGTTATCGGTTTCCGGTTAACCGGCTAAGCGAAAATTTCAAAATCGGACAGTGTTCGATAGCGAGGTTAGCTTTGCCGGTTAGCCGGCTAACCGACAAAGCTAACACCCTCCCCTCAATCGTAAAACGACACCGCCCTCCTCTTCCGCCTAAACCCTAATCGAGCCCCTCAATCTCTCTTCTCTGCATCGCGAGACGGGAAGTCTCTCCCACTCTCTAAGTCTCCCTGCCTCCTGCCCAACCCTCCTCTATCGACCATCTCCCTCCGCCGGAGACATTCCTTTCCCCTCTTATCGACCATCTCCCTCCGACCCTCCCCGACTGCCGCGACGACGAGGACGACCCTTGCTTCTCCAACGCGAAGTCGCCGCCAACCATCCCCTTCCTTCCCCCGCCGCGACCTCGCCTCGGCCACTTCTGCTCGCAGCTAGCAGCCAACAGTCCTCCGCCGGTGCCATTCCTTTCCGACGACTAGTGCCCCTCTACGCAGGCCAGCACCCCGCCATTGAATTATGTAGATTTACTTTGTCTTTCTAAAAGTATATGATTTGGTTCTCGTTTCCAATTAGTATATGATTTCAATTGGTGAAGCTTGTTTGAAGGTGAAGATACGCTATTGGTTATACTAATTTATTTGTGTTTAATCTTCTTCACCTGAGTATCCCGATGCTGAATAAGATGAAGTTAATCTTCTTCACTGCCTTCCTCAGCCCTCCCACCACCGACCACCCGCTGCCGGCAGCGACGGTCATTCTTCTCCGATCCATGATAAAATGAGATGCTCATAATTGTGAATCCCATGTTTTGGTATATAGAGGGATGGAGGGAGGGAGAAACTTAGCTAGCAAGGCAAGTTATAATTGAGGCTCGGGATTAACGAGAGAGAAAGAGACAGAGAGCTGATGGATGATTAGTTGGATTGTGGGGATTTGGTTCTTCTTGCTTTGTGTTCATCTTCTTTAATTGCTTGCTATTTCAGATCTCTACAAGCCTTTGAATTATAAAAAAATTTGAGCGGCTTACTTGTGAGCTTCTTTATCTATTGTTATAATTAAAGGCTTGGTAGAGATTCTATTTTAAATGGATAGTTAACCATTACAAGAGGGTTACTCTAAGCATGAAGGCTTGCTAGAGATTCTATTTAATTAATTATTATTGGTTTGGGTGTGCTTAAGGAACTAAGGAAAGTTCTTTCTTATCCAAGGGAAAAGAAAGAACCAGTAGGCTATGTTTCTGTTCTCACTAGGTTCAGACAGCAAACTGTAAAATCATGGGTTGCAGTTTCTGCAATTTTCTGTTTATTCTTTGGGTTCTGCTGCTTTTTCACTGCTCTTTGGCTCTCTTTTCTCTTTGGCTCTCAATTTGTGTAATTGTTTTTTTAGGGTGAGACCTCCGGCTCCTCGTGGTGGACATGGCGGACGAGGTGTCCCTACTGCTGCTACTGCTCCTCGTGGTGGGAGACCTCCAGCGACTCGAGGTCGTGGTGGTGCGACTGCCCCTGTTCAGACTCGGGGTGGTGGTGGACGTATAGGAAGTTGACCTGTTCAACCTACTGAAGTTGAACTGTCTTCATCAACTCCATCGATTCCCGCCCCTATCGATAGTGGAAGTACACCTGCCGGTACACCTGGCGAGACTCCTACCGAGACTCCTTCTATTGACACGGGCGCTCCAGATTCAGAGATAGCTACATGAGACATTTTTTACTGTGAGAAATGGTTAAAGACGGTGGGTAAAGCTTCTTGTTGGAAGGTGTTTAAGAAGTTGATAGTTGACAGCTACCCGATGGGAGAGTGCATACACTGTCATACTCTAATCAAAGCTCATCCTCACAAAAATGGGACCACTGCAATTAATAACCACATGCACTCATGTTTGGCTAAGGTGGCAGCATATAAAAATCAGACAGTATTGCAGACATTAGAAGGTGGTCAAGTAAGTGGTTTATGGAAGTTTGATCAGAGAAAAACTAGATATGCATTAGCAGTATGATCATTATAGATTAATTGTCATTTTGCTTTGTGGAGAGAGAAGGATTTAAGCAATTCATGTATGTTGTTCAGCCACTGTTTAGGATACCCGGGAGGAAAGCTATAAGAGATGACTGCTTTCATATCTTCTTGGATAAAACGATGGATTTAATTGATTTTTTTGAATCAAGGAGCCAAGGAAGAGTTTCAATCACTACGGAACATGGACTTCTGATAACAACAAGAATTGCATGTGTGTTACTGCTCACTTTGTTGGAGGTGATTGGAAGTTGTAGAAGAAGGTGATAGCCTTTGTTCCCATCACAAGTCATATTGGAGTTGATATTGCAGAGAAGCTTGCAGGAGTTCTTGAAGAGTGGAAGGTGAAGAATCTGTTCTGCATGACCATGGACAATGCAACTTCAAATGATGTTGTCAGTGAGTGCATGTAACGAAGCTAAAAGAGTGGGGGTGTGATTTGATGGATGGAAAGTTTCTGCAGTTTCGATGTGTTGCACACATCATTAATCTAGTGGTACAAGATGGACTGAAAGTGGTTGGTTGTGCTGTGGACAGAGTTCGGGATTGTGTGAAGTGGGTGAGGTCTTCACAAGCTAGGTTGTTACAGTTCAAGAATGGCATGGAATTTCTGCATGTGGAGTCAACCAAACTGGTGTCTTTGGATGTACCGACCAGGTGGAACTCCACCTATACCATGTTAGAGTCAGCAGAAATTTTTGATGTAGTGTTTACAACTTTGTATTCAAGTCCATACGATCATTCACTTAGAGATTATCTAGACTCAAGAGGTGGGCTTCCAACTAATCAAGATTGGCAGATGATTAGGAAGTTGAAAGACTATCTGAAAGTCTTCAATGACTTGACCCTTTTAGTCTCTGGTAAGTGAAATTTCTGAATTGCATTGTTTTATTTAAAAATTTTAACCATTTTCCCATTTCTATTTGTGTTATTCTAATATTCTGGTGGTACCTTCTCATTGTACAGGAACTAAATATGTGACTATCCATATATTCTTCAAGAAGCTTGTTATGGTATATGACATCATTGAGAAATTGAAGAATGATCCGCATGAAGAGATCCAAAAGATGGCTGAGAAGGTTGAGGAAAAGGTACAAAAGTATTGGTTTGAATCATGTGTTGTGAACGAGAAGAACATGAAGGTGAACCACTTAATTTATATAGCATGTGTGCTTGATACAAGAAGTAAACTTGATTTGATGTCCGAGGTTTTGGCAATGATGTATGGGAATGTGAAGGGAAGAGAAATGGTTAACTGCATTATTTCGGAAATGCGACAGCTGTTTGAGGTTTACAAAGGGAAGTATGGATCAAAAGCACCCTCCTCTGCATCTAAGCCTACCACTAGTGAGAGCACGGCTGGTGGTGATAGGATTAAGCATCTATAGGAGAGGATTACGTATAGGAAAAGGGAAGCACTTCTACAGGATACAGGAGGTAGCTCTGCTGAGCTTGACATCTATTTAACATGTCAAACTGATGGCATCAATGAGGAGAGTGATGATGCCAAGTTTGACATCTTGAGTTGGTGGTCTCGACACTCTGGAACATATCCGATTGTTTGTGAGATGGCTAAGGATATTCTAGTTGTTCCCATCTCTTTTGTTGCCTCAGAGGCAACCTTCAGCTGTGGCGGTCGGATTCTCAGTCCATTCAGGTCTTCTTTGAGTGATATCATGTTGGAGGTATTGATTTGTGCGGAGGATTGAATAAAGTATGAAACTACCGGGGCCGGAGATAATGACGATAGGGAAGATGATGAAGATATCATGGATTTGGAAAGCGGTAAGTTCTAAAACTCTTTTAATTATTGTTTGTTCAAGTAAACATATACTATTTCTTTCTACCTAATTCAATGTATGAATATTCTAACAATTTGTTTTCCTTTTTCTTACTCAGTTAATACCACTTTCCAGTCTAGAATGGAAAGTGCAAGTGATGTTGGCAATGTTGCCAATGCAGATGCAAGTCAGAACATTCCAGATGGGAATGAGCAGGAGGGTGAAGAAAATGTGTCAGAGGAAAAGTATGAGAAAGATGGATATGACGATGTTGGTCATGACCTCTTGCCGCAACTGAAAGAAAAGGGTTATGTAGATGTTGGTTCTTCTTCGGTTGATAAGTGATGATTTGGTGGTAACTTGTAATTTGTGACTATGAAGTTTATGATTTTATGTTCTAGTATTTGAGACATTAATTTGGTGATTTAAATCTATTTTCGATGCAAAAATGATTGAAACTTGACTTGTGGAGTGATTTAGATGTAGAAATGTAGGGCTGGACGTTTGATTTTAGGCAATTTTAGCGATCTTGTTTGTATAGGGGCGCTGTCCGGTTCGGTTACTCGGTTAAAACCGGTTTGCATGATGTCTTGTGGTTACCACGGTTAACCGAGCAACTAACCGGTAACCGACCAGTCGGTTGCCAGCTAACCGATGGCTTCCGTCGAGCGATTGGCGGTAGGCGAGGTTGGCGTCGCGGTTAACCGGTAACCGACATTTCGGTTATTGGTTATAACCGATCTAACAGAAAATCCAGCCCTAGTTCTGGAGTAAGATCGGAATGGGGTCAGCTCTCTTAGCAGAGCTTTGGGGTATTTTTCATGGCCTGAACTTTGCTTGGAAACAAGGAATCCAGTTTTTGATCATCGAGACTGATTCCCAGCTTGCTATAGAACTGATGGATAAAAGAGACGACCCGGTTCACCCTCATTCTACCTTGCTAACTACGATTCGGAGAATGATGGCACAGAGTTGGATGGTTTAATTAGTGCCTACATACAGGGAAGGGAATAGAGTCGTGGACTGGCTCTTGAAGCACAGTCTCGTCTATCCCTTTGGTATGTATGAACTAATAGATCCTCCAGCATATTTGACTCGACTCTACTGTCACTCCAGGAATTGGCCAAGTGAAACCACTTCCTAAAGCGTAGTATAGCGGGTTTGGGTTTAATTATCAACCCGGGTCCTAGATTTGATGACTACTCAGTGAATTCTTGTTATCTAGCAATGAAACTTTAATGCAAGTCTAAACTAACAAACTAACAAAGCAAGTAAACGGTTGTATTCAGGTTAAGAGAGGTCACCCGGATATGGTTCCCCCTATACTGCAGTTATGCCAGATTGTAATTACCAAGTTCAGTTTCTATGAAAGTTATACTGCGGAAGATTCTTAAACAGCCTGAAGTCTCGACTAAAGGTCTTCAGACCCTCTCAATCTGAATCTCTAGCGGGCGACTAACCTCCATCGGAGTAGACAGATTGAGGCCCTAAGAACAAAACCTCCACTACCGAAGTGAATCCGGTACAGAATAGTGAGTTGGTTCCTCGACTAAAGTCACCAACTCCCTACCTTCAATCAAGGATACTCTATTAACCTAGGCAGATATTCTCATTCTAGGTCAAAGCAGAAACAACAGGAATTTGATCAGGATTCAAGTCATTCAATTATTCAAACCTCAATCGAATATAATCAAATCATAGAATCAGTACTTGGGTTCATACAATCAAAGCCTAACATACAAATCTAGGGTTCTCCATACCCAGATGAATGGGAGAACTACTCCATAGAGAAAGAAGCAAAAGAAGAATCAGACGCGGAATTCATACTGTGAAGGATGGATTCCTGCTTCTGGATGTTGATCGGCACTTCTCCAAGCTCAAGCTGGCCTCCAATGGTGTTGAAGATCAATCTAGGGCACTTGGAGACTCTTGTTCGTCGCTTTCTCTCTCTAGGAACTGATCTCTCTCTCTAAAACTCGAATCCCCTTCTGTTTGGCTGAAAATCTGCTTACAAAGGCATCAGTGGCCAAAGCACGGTCGAGGGCACGGCCGTGCTTTGCCTGAGTCCGCCCGTGTCTCGGCCAAGGTTAATTACACGGCCAGCAGTTGGGAGGAAACACGGTCGTGCTTCGCGTTGGATACGGCCGTGTAATGATTGAATCCAGCCGTGCTTTGTCTCGGCCCTGCCCGTGTAATCAGCTCAGCTCTCGACATAAAAAGCACGGCCACAGGAACACGGCCGTGTAATGCCTTAGGTGTGCTCGTGTTTTGGCCCCAGCTTGACGAAATGACCTCCGAATGCCCCGAAACTCGTGGTTAGCCTTCCCTTTGACGCCTGGGACCTGAAATATGACAAAACAGCACAACCCGGCGTAAAATAGGCCAAAACACACGACTATACCCCTCAAACGGATAAGAACTAGGGGCGCAAACATGTGCAATTACATCGTTATCAAATTCCCCCACACTTAACCGTTTGCTTGTCCTCAAGCAAACCAAGTCAGAAACAAGGTAAGCTCAAAACAACAAGGCATGACATATCGACACAAAACACGTGGATCATACTGGCTTTCGATCATTAACACATGGACAACCTCACTGACAACCTAGACAACCACCACAGATGACATTCGAATGTAGTAAAATCGAGCAAAGGAAGAGTCTCCCTTCTATTCACCAACCAACATAGACTTGACTCAACCACTTGTTCAAAACAGTCACATCATGCACAAAGTTCAAGATATCAGAATTAAGACCGAGCAATCTAGGTCCTCACCGGGATAAAGAGTATAGAGAATAAGAGAAAAATGAATCGCTCACTCTCGACCAGTGGGGTCAGGACAATATGATGCGAAAAATGCGCATGCTTAATCTCTCAATCCCTAACATCTCTTCACCATGAATGCAGCCTCTAAGTGCTAGAGTTCACATATGGGGTGTCATCACTAACTAATCCGGAGGTCTTAGACACAGGTTCAGATGACTGGCTAGGGTCTTGGACATGGGGAAAAGGCCTTTTAGGTGGTGGAAGTATTAATACAGCACAAGGTTCCACATTTCCAAACCCAACAGGTTCAAAGCACAAGAGCGAAGGAGGTTACATAAATGCTAGTATTTCCAAGCCAGACTGCTAAGAAACACTACTACATGGGCATTATTCAGATTTTTGGTGGTGGCTCTCTTTTGCTTTCATTTTTTTTTTCTTTCATTATTTTCCATTTCCTAAGAGAACCACCACCTCTGCAAATTTTCGAACACCTGCCCAACTTTTAAGCACTACCTCCAACCCTCACATTACATTTAGCAGAAACAGCAGAGAACATGTAAAAATCACTCTGTGGAACCTTCTAAAAGATGCAAAAGGGTGACTTTTCATTGAAGACCGAAAGAAAGGGAAACACACGGCTCAAAGGGGCTGACTAGGGGTATGACACACTAGGACAGTCAATTTGGTCGTGGGCTAATCCTATGCCTCCATCATCTTAGCTAATGACAACGTGAATGCTGCACATCATGGAAGAGGAAACTATCGCACAAGAAAGAAACGAGCAGGCTCAAATCTCACATGGCTACCTATATGCTCTATCTCTCATCCTGATTTCCTGTACTAAATGCATAAATGACTGTCAAAAGCAAGTGATCAAACCAAGTCACATTTGGTGAGCAAACAGTTGAGAAAACTAAACCCCTACACAATTCTACTGCACATCTCAGTCATCACAATAAGTTGTCTAAGTCCCACTCAAGTTGTCATATATCAAGTCAAAAGCCATTCAATTCACTAATCATATCCACAGTGCCAATACGATCAATCATCAAGCAAACAGCCGTGCTTGGAGCCCTCAAATCTCAAGATTTGGACAGTGGACAAGGCTCCAAGCACACATATATACGTTCCAATTCATACAAAGAACCCCCCCACACTTAAACGCGACAATGTCCTCAATGGAGCAGAGGGAAGGGGAACGATGTTACAGTGAAACAGTGGTCAGGAACGCTGACTGGATGGCGGACCAGTCAAAAGAAGGGGCACAGAGCTAGAGACAACAAAAACACACACTGGGTGATAGGAGTCAGAGTACCAAGTCTACAATCTGGGATAAAACAAAACAAAACGAAACCACAAAACACGGAGTCTTAGTCTGGAAAACAGATAAAGCACAAAACCCGCTCTAGAAGGCATCACCACCATCGCCGGTGGGTGGAGGGTACTCATCCTCAAACCCCGGGGACTGCACGAACGGGTAGTGGACCGCGCTCGGGTCCAAGCCCAAATAAGACATGATGTAGTGTTGCCCGGACAGGATACGACGCCCTCGGTCCCGTTCACGATCAATGCGGGTGTGGAGGAGCTCCTGGCCAGCTAGGAGGCGCTCATTCTGCTGCGAGATCGCCGCCAACTGGTCGGAGATGGGCACCACCACTGGAGGAGGTGACCCTGGAGACGGAGACCAGGGAGCAAGAGAGGGGCTCGCGGGAGCCTGGCCACGACGGGGAACGCAACGTCGACCTCGGCGCCCACCAGCGGCTCTCGGCTCGGCCTGGTCACCCTCTGCAGGAGGAGGTGGCTGAGGAAGGCCCTCGATCCAGCGCTGACGCCCGTGGCGCGCAAGCAAGTGCTGGTGGAGAAGAGTAGGCTCGCTGAATGGGGACGCCCCGCGCACCAAAGTCATCCCCGTGTAATCCACCCCATAGTTGCGGGCCAAGGTGGTGATCACCGGGCCACAAACGAGGGCACGAGTCGTGCTGATGGTTGGTTTAGTGAATGTCCTCGCCAGTACAGAGCCCAGCTGGATGGTGTCCTCAGAACGACCCATCGCATGCATCAACCAGAGTGTGCGGAGCGTGACCCGGTTGGCCGAGCCTGCGCTGGGTGTGTAGGAAGTGCACATCAGGTGGTTGAGGATCCGCCACTCCGGACGGAGGAGAGAAGCCCGCGTCTGGCTGGCCACGTACTGTTCATCCACACTGTCGGGCAGACAAATGGTCTGAAAGTACGCCTGAGAAGCGAAGTCCGTGGGATCAGCGAGATCTAGGCGGAGAGGCGGCCCACCAGCTTCCCGGGAGTTGAGGCGAAGTGCATTGGCGAACTCCCAGTAGCTGAGGGAGTGCTCCACCCCGCCGAGTGTGAACTGGACTGCATTAGAGTGATCGGAGTTCCCCCTCTGATTGTGGGTGAAGGTGGTGTAGAACTCCAAGACCAGCTCCTTGTAGGTCGGCTCGGCGAGGGTGAGAAGACGCCGCCAAGCAGGGGAGCGGACCGCAGCCTCCATCTGTGGCCTGGCATGAAGCTCCTCGAACACCTCCCAATCGAGGTGATGGTGCTCGGCGATGCTGCGGGTGCGGAGGTTCCGCAGCTTATGGCGCTGGATAATGTTCAGCTGGTCAAGATAATCCTCCATGATCCTGCAAAACACAATGAAGGACAAAGGGTACACAAGCAAACGGGGTCAATGTTAGACCAAAACCACATCGGGAGTCCTCATATCGGAAGATATGGACAGTGGACTAGACTCCCGGCGACACAAGCATACCCATCATACGAGAAATACCAGCTGAATACACCGGGGACCCTCAAATCGAGCGATTCGGACAGTGGACGAGGCCCCCGGTGAGACAAACATACCACAACTTTCCTAAATAGCACCAATCGAGGCATCACAGAAAAATTACATATCACGCAGCCCATTCACCAAGCAATCAGCCCAATCATCCCCCAAACCCAAAATATTCCCCAAACCATGCATTCCACAATCAAAAGTTCTTCACCTAACTCTAGGTATCGATTCTCCAAAAAGATAAGAAAATACACGGAGAACACACCTGGAGACTCAAGAAGATACCGCGAGAGAGAGGAAGAAAGTGGAGAGAAGCACCCAAAGTCGCCGGAAAACACACCGGAGACTCGCCGGAAAACTCGCCGCCGGTGGCTCAAACTCAGCCAAACCAGCCCAAATCGTTGGGGAATGTGCTCCTCAACGCCAGGAGCATGGGGGCGCTCGCGGATTGTGATTTGGAGGTCGGGAGAGGGAGTTATGGCCGGAAAATCGAGGGAGAAGGTGAAAGGGGCGATTTTCCGGCGAGGGGGGGGGGGGGCTGGGGGTTTTTGAAAAAATGACTGATCTGAGTTTGGGGGTGAAAAAAATTCGATTTTATAGGGGGGAGTCCGAAACACGGGTGGGCCATTACACGGCCGTGTTTCGGGTGCTCCGCGCCAGTGTTTTCCCCCATCAAAACACGGCCGGGCTCTGATCAAAACACGGCCGTGTTTTCAGAGCCCAGTGCCCGTGTTTTTTATGCCGAGAGCTAAAGGCAAAACACGGGCGGGCACGGGGAGAAACACGGCCGTGTTCTGTCCCCCTGCTGCCCGTGTTTTTTATGCCGAGCCTGAAATGCATTTTTGTCAATTTTAAAGCTCAAACCACCAAGATTCATTCGCGCCCCGGCTCTAAAATTTACCCAATCACACATCAAAACGAACCGCCCGAGGCACGAAAAACTTTCCAGACTGACTCCAAACTGACTTAAAGACTCAAAAACCGACAAAGTTGAGATAAATAAATAAATAAAAAAACAAAGGTAGAAATGCAAACCGTGGTGGGGTTGCCTCCCCACAAGCGCTTCTTTACCGTCTTTTAGCTGGACGCCAATTGCGGAACTAAGGGTCCGCGAGCTCCACTGCTAACTCCGCACGTTCGACATCGTCTCCCAGGTAGAGCTTGAGACGATGGCCATTCACTTTAAACGGCTCAGTTTGCGGGTTAGCAATCTCAATCGTGCCATACGGGAACACCTGTGTGACCGTGTACGGTCCAGACCACCGGGAACGGAGTTTTCCAGGAAAGAGTTTCAGGCGAGAGTTATAAAGGAGAACTCGATCACCAACCTGGAACTCTTTCGGACCCCGCAACAGTGCATCGTGGAGACGCTTCGTGTGCTCCTTGTACAGCTTGGTGTTCTCATAGGCGTGATAACGCCACTCTTCCAGCTCCAACATCTGCATTTTTCGCTCATCACCTGCAACACTAACATCCAAGTTTAGCAGCTTAAGGGCCCAGAAGGCCTTGTGCTCTAGCTCCACGGGCAAATGGCATGCCTTTCCATAGACAAGCCGGTACGGTGAGGTACCAATGGGCGTCTTGTAGGCAGTGCGATATGCCCACAGAGCATCATCGAGCTTGGTGGACCAATCCTTGCGGGATAGGTTCACCGTCTTCTCCAAGATCCGCTT